ACTTTGGCCTAAAATGTAAAATTCACTTTAAATTCTCACTTTAGTGAATAACCCTGTCTATTTTTCTCAGAGTCCTAGTGAAGCAAGACTCTGGTTGGGCATAGCAGAATTATAAAATGTGTAGCCCCAGCACTTATTATAATAATACTCCAGAGAAAATGTTTTAGAAGTAACTGACTGAATAGCAGGGTGATGAATTTGTACCATTCTACTGATTTTATTAAATCACTAGCGCAGGGGTTCTCAACCCAGTCCTCGACGACCCCCTACCAGTCCAGGATTTAGGGATTACCTGGGTGTGTCTAAGGTGTTTAGAAAAAGAAAAACACCTGTAGGGGGTCCTTGAGGACTGGGTTGAGAACCCCTGCACTAGAGTCAAGTGGAGGAATGCTTTTTCTATTTTAGTTCACTCTGCAAAAATGTATCAGGCATTACTAATAAAGGCACCTGGAGCAAAGTTATCCTATTACCAACTCGTTTCAACTGGCAAAGTAGGTCTTATGAGGGTTAAGAACTCCAATAGTTTGTAAGACTTGGGGGACCCAATCTCAGCTGATTGTTTTAAAATAACTTGCTTTTTGAGCCCCTCCTTCCATATTTTAAGGAACTCTATAGGGTCAGGAACTTTAACGTGTACTCCTGACCCAATAGTGTTAAAAACACTACCTAGCCCCCCTGGCCCTCTTTGCACCCCTAAATACAGTACAAATTTACCTTTATTCCAGTCTGCTTGTGCTCGCTCTGCCCCTGATCTGCTTGCTTGGCTGACATCATTAGAAGTGATGATCTCAGCCAATCACAATGCTATCCTATAGGAAAGCATAAGATTGGCTGAGATGGTCAAGGAGGTGGGCCGGGGGCTGGTGCCAAACATTGTTTTCGCAAATCAGCATCTCCTAATAAAGATGCTTTAAGTCAATGCATCTCTATTAGGAAAGTTCATTGTCTCAATGCAGACGGTGAAGACACTGAAAGTCAATGCTGCACAGTGTGCAGCACTACCCCAGGAAGCACTTCTAGTAGCCATTTGAGGAGTGGCCCCTGGAGGTGTCCCTAGGTTGTAATGTAAACACTGCAGTTTCTCGTAAAGAAAAACTGTGTTCACTGCAAAAAGCCTGCAGGGACTAACTATACTTACAGAACAACTGCATTAAACTGTAGTCTGATGACTAAAGTGTCCCTTTAAGGTAAATAAAGGGGCTTTATTCACAACATCTTGCATTATAAAGAACTGAGAAGGGTATTGAATATTTTAAATTCAAATAGCTAAAATGGGAAAATTCTCCAACTGAGCAATTTTTAATTCGCTTGTCGGTTCTCAACAATTCCAAATTTAGAGAATAAACCCTATAGTATTGTTGGATCATAGATTATACACATAAAATAACACCTTCTTAATAACGTCTGTCTTGGAATTAGTTCCCGCTTCTTTTGCCCTTATATTACAAGTGTAGGAAAATGTGATTTCTGGACTATATATTGTCCTGGAAATAGGAGAGGATGCATGGAATCTGTGAAAACCCAGGCCTTGTATACCCACAAACACCATTAAGTAAATAAATGATATATTATGGTTTTCTGAAATTGTGTTGGTGAGACATGTGAGGTGGCTCTGAGCCCTTGGCTGTTTATTTACTTGTTGTTGCAAGGGTGGCCATGTGTCCAGAACTGAACTGACCGTCATCGAATTTTCATCAGTGACCTGTACACAGTTTCCAGGTCAATAAAGCATTTTATTTCTGAGGAGCATGAATTAAAATGGATATCCGGCAATCCTACTGGGAGGTCAGTTCTCTGGCAATGTCATACCCTTGTCTTTCTAGATACACAAATCAAAATGACTTTATACGGGATCTTTGAAGTCAAGGACTCGTGCTCATAGAAATGACTCCTGAATTCTACAAATGTTTGTCACCCGTAGAATGGTACAGAATTTCCATGGAATGGTATTGAAACAAAGTTCAATTCCCTGCAGTAGAATGTTCTCCAGCATTTCTTAACATTGTGTAAGGCAACAGTCCAGCAGAACGTCCACCTTCTTGTTGAGCCATAGCTCTCGCTATGCTTGAACACTGGCTCGCTACTTTTGGCCAATCCTGTTATCAGAAAATATGCTTCCCCCAACTCATCTGAAATTTACTGCTCGATAACTTTGATTGTCGTTAAAGCGACGTATTCATCTGTGGCTGGCTACGTAGAGGCAGAGAAAGGGTTAATCTTCCCAGGGCTTTATCATTCTTTTTGGTTCTCTCACTGCCGATTAAAAATAAAAAAATAAAAAGTCTCCGCACGCACGGAACATGCTAATTGTATGAATAATGAGAGGAGCTCTCGTGGAAAGATCTGAGACCTTTAAGCTTTGCTGCCGGTAAAAGCCCAGAATGTAAAGAAGCAGAGGCTGAATTTGTGCACAGCCGTATAAAGGGGGAGAGCGGATGGAAGGGAACGGATGGTGAGGAAAGGGGGGGTGGAGGAAGGGAACGAGTTTGCTTTGGTTTATTTTTATATCTGACAATTTTATTCTTTGTCACGTCTCCATCTGAGCCCTGTCTTACTTTTTTTATTTCCTAATCGGACCCTTTTTTGGGTGGCGGGTGCAGTTTAATATGATATAATTCTCCTAGGTGAGCCATGGGACACTGCAAGCAATAAAAGTCTCACTCGTCTTCATAGAAATAATAAGGTTAATGTGCAGATCATATTATTTTCCAAAATTACAAAACTTCATTACTTAGACTGTTATATCTTAACATCACTTTGCCCAACTGTCTAATACCTGGCCTTGTGGATTCTGTTGAATGTCTTAAGATCCCATAATGTGTGAAGATCTGTAAGTAACAAAGAGTAGACAGTTCATATTAATAGTTTGAATAATATAATTCTGATGACCACTAATCCCCTCCACAGCCCTCATTTTACTCCTGAGCAGCTGTCACTGAGGAACTATATTCTACTTATAATTTATAAAGCACCAACACATTATGCAGCGGTGTACAATAGGTGATCTAACAAACAAGTTGTTACAACACGACACGTCAGATGTACAGTAACAGAAAGTGTTAATGACTTTGCTCAAACAAGCTTATAATCTAAAAGGAGTGGGGTAAAATTACACAAGAGGTAAATAATATAACCAGACCATACCTCCAAAGTGTCCCTATTTAGGAGGGACAGTCCTTATTTTGGGCTCAAATCTATTCCTCTTTTCAATCCTAATGTCTAGGGAGTTCCTTATTGTTGGTTTGTCCTAGTGTATAACAGAGCTCAACGGCAATAATGCTCACAGTAACGTGTCCTTCAACTACATTAAATGTATTTAAATATCTGTCTGTGTAAATAAGATACATTGTTCTTGTTCTAAATTACATTTTAGTTGTATAAATTGATTTAGTTAATCACCTAAAATTTCTCAGAACAGCCCCGCCCTGGCCACACCCTCAATCACAACCCTATAAAGTGTTCCTCTTTGTCTGTTTGACTATTGTGGGGGGACTGGGGCTATGGTGGGGGACAGTATTATGGGTGATAGGGACAGTATTATGGGGCAAGGGCAGTATTGTGGGGGATAGGGACAGTACTATGGGGCAGGGGCAGTATTGTGGCAGATAGAAGAGAAGACAGTGCATGTAGAGCGGAGCCACCTTGCTTGCCCCCCTGCTACTGGCGCTCAGCCTCGGTTTAAAAAAAAAAAAAAAGGCGAGGAGCACTGTGCGCTTCCCTTCTGCCGGTCACCCAGACATTTGTGCGCCCGGGCCGGCGTGCCCTAAGGTGGAAGCTTGTGCCATCTTATGGTAGCATTGGCCCTGAGCAGGAGAAGTATGCAGAGCGCAATGGCAGTGAAGCAGAGCAAAGAACATCCAATGTAAGTTCAATTGCTATTGCTCCACTGTCTGCTGCCTCTGCAAAATTATATATGCCAAATTTAACTGGTGGGGATTTCTCCATTACCTGTCCTCCCACATGATTTCCTGGGGGGATGTGTGTCCCCCATGCCGCCCGGTTCCTACACCCGTGGCCACGCTGAGAGTTGTTTTGATCACTCTGCTGGCTTGAGGGGGGCCTGATCAAAGCCAGAGCTTCATCCGGCTCTGATGTAATACCTAGGGCATGTGTCACACCTGGCTTACCCTAGATAAGTCACTGATCACTGAAGAGGTTTGTACAGGATGTATAATTCATATTGAAAGGTCTGCCCGAGTTGTCAAGACAAACAATGACAGAGTGTTACCAACGAGAAGCAATAATAGACCCCGCAACTGCCACAAATCATAGGAACACTCCAAGCATTAGAATCTTTACAGCCCACTGTAGTGGTTATGGTGCCAGGAATTCCCTGGTGCACTCGTGGGGTGCCAGGCACAGTCTGTTCTATACTGAGAAGCTGCAGTATTTTTCTTTTTTTTTTAATTCTTTATTTTAGTTGTGCAGTTGTTGAACATAATAGTAGCACTGCCACAATAGCAGGTGCCAACATTTGTCATTCACAGATGTACATGTGGCTTCAAAGACATTGCACTTTTTATATGGTGAGATAATCATGCATAAAACAGTGGTTTCACAATAATATTAGGATAACAGTAGCTTAGTAAAACGATGTGAGTTATAGTAGCAGTAGCGTTCCTGCTAGGGCCTTCGCCGGGTAAGGCTTAACCTGTGTGTATATTGGCTTAGTCTAGACTATGCTCTCGTCAGAGATATGGTCTGAAACAATTTTATAGTGTAAGAGCATTTGCAGGAGTGTCAGGTGTGTGTTAGGCTAAAAGTAGAACTTAGTGGCATTGTTGTCATGCTGTAAAGCCTGATGCATGGGCTACTGAGATATAAATACCACTATAGCTAGTGCAAACACGCTGGTGTAAGATTAGTTAAAAATCATACAGAAACAATAGGCCAGTACCAGTCTCTGATATGGGCAGTATGAGGTGTAGGGAGGTTGTCTCATCTGCAGTGGTAAGTGTCCCAGTCAGCCAACTCCCGCCGGCAGTATTTCATAGTCCCGGTTAGGTACCCGAGTGCGTCTCGGTCTCTGTCGCCTCCTGTGCTCGGGAGGTTCCCCCTTTCGTGGTTGAGTGCCTTAGTTGGTCCGGCTTGATGTTGTCGCCATTTTGGGCCTTGTATCTCGCCTTTTCCACTGCCGATCGTGTCTTTATGTTCCTGCTGGGTCTGTTGCTGGTCATTGCTTGTCGGTGTGTAGGGCTTGAGTGTTTTAACTTGGTCGCTCAATAAAGCATTTCATTTCTGTGGATCATGAATTAAAATAGAAATCCGGCAACCCTAGTGGAAGGTCATTTCTCTGGCATTGACATACAAATGGCTGTAGTGGTTATGGTGCTTGAGTGTTCCTTTAATAGGAAATAACACTATATACATGCAAACCAATCAATGACATGATTATATTGCATTTATACAATTTGGCTTCTTCTCAAAGAGCTCACCTGCAGATGGCAAGCAACTGGCAACTGTCAGTCATTGATAATTTTACAATTTAAAGGAGCTAAATTGAAAAATTAACTTCAACTATAAAAATATTTTTTCCAATTTGGCTATTTTGGTTTAGAAACTGAAATTCCCCTGTAAATTCTCTAGAATTCACAGTTTAACAAATAAACCTATGATGTTTCAGCTGACGTGTGAAGTGACGGGAATTTAAAGTGATTTTCGTGTTTTAGGCTCTGGTCAATTATTGACGATTCCCGGTATGTCGAATAGATATTTATTTATTTTTTGACAGTGGACACAAATTTGATGATTTTCAGAATTAAACGATGTGAAAACAAATAGATTTCTTTACAGCCGCCATGTCATAGTTCCAAATGAGCTATAATTAGTAAAAATATGTTTGAATTGAAGGGAGATATATCCAGTGTTTCTAACTTAAGCAACTCGGTCGAGTCCCACAGGCTCCACTGGCAGAGTCACGTAGTAAATAATTCCGACTTATTCAGTTTATTCTGATGCTATGACCTCCTGCACCTGTAATGACTTTATATCCTTTTATTAAAGCTACATGTATATTTATAGAAGTTTGTTCACTGTCAGCACTCCATATCAGATCCCATCCCTGTGTATCTCTCTCTCCCTTACCGCTGGCTGCTCTGTCTCTGTCCAGCTCTATCTCCATGCCAGTTTGTCTTTTTTTCTTATAAATATATGTATTCTAGTCCCCAATGTCTTACACAAACTCAATATCAGACTGTACATCCTCTGTCCTTGTGCTTGTTTATATCTCGGCCCTCTCCTGACTGTTACAGTTCTCTTTTCAGTTTTGTTTTTTTTAAATATCTCATCAGCTCTCTCTACTCGCTCACCATCTCTCTCCCTCACTATTTCTCTTTAACTGTCTCTCGCTATTCTTAAAGTAACAGTCCAAGCACCATAACCACTACAGTGTGCTGGGTTCTAGGAATGTCATGGAACCTCTTAAATATTTTTACAATATAACTCAATGACAAGGGAGAGTGACAAGCTCTCTATTTGCAGTGCAAGGCTTCATTCACTGGTAAGAAGCGATCAGCTAAGCTCAGAGCTAACTAAACTATTGACGAGTAGAGATGTCGCGAACCGTCTGCGAACTTCTCGCGAACGGTTCGCCACGAACCGTTCACGGCGAACTCCGGTCAGCTGACACATCCCGGCCAATCTCTGGCAGACCCTCCCTCCCAGACCCTCCTACTTCCTGGACAGCATCCATGTGGGTCTGCCGGAGATTGGCCGGGATGTGTCAGCTGACCGGAGTTCGGCGCGAACGGTTCATGGCGAACCGTGGCGAACCGTTCGCGAGAAGTTCGCGGACGGTTCGCGACATCTCTAATTGACGAGGAGCTTGTGGCTCTGCATAGGAAGTGGTGGTGGCAGGGAGCAGTGTAGGAAGTCAAGCCATTCTAACTCATGTGAGTGGTACTGTGGTAGTGGTTATGGTCCTTAGAGTGCTCATTTAATGCTTCCTCACTCTCTAACTCTTCTTGCTATTACTAACTCTCCATCACTAACAGGGTTATTTACTAAAAATAATTTAAAATTACAAAATTTGGGGGAATTCAAACTGAATTTTAAATTTTTAGACCAAAATAAATTAAACGCATAGCTGACTTGGAGAATCTTTCCATTTCAGGTATTTTAGCCTTAAACTTTACTTTAAATCTGAATTCTCAACAATTCTCACTTAAGTAAATAACCCTGTAAATCTATTAACAGAGCAGGAGATAGGAAATTCTAAATTAAAAACACACTATGCAATAAGGGAAGTTAAATAATTAGACCTCTTTTTCAGGAAGTGTTTAGGGAGGCTGTCTGGGTCACGGCCGGGGAGGTGTGGCTAGTGCTGCTTAAACAAAGTGATTTAACTCCTAAATGTCAGAGAACTGAGCACTGGGACTGCAGCGGGATGACCTATATGCCAAAACTGCTTCATAAAACTAAAGTTAATTTGATGCTTAGTATGTCCCTTTAAATCTGCCTTATTCTCTCTTGCACACGATCACTCTCTCTGCCTTATGCTCTCTTACTCTCCATCACTCTGAATTATTCTCTCTTACTCTTATTATTGTGTCTTTAACCCTCTATAATGCTTTGCCTTTGTTACTCACAGACTCTCTCATCCTCTCCCTGTCTCATATCTCCCTCTCGAACCTTATTATATTTCCTATATTATTTCCCTTTCATTTCTCCATTTCTCCCTCATTCCTGTTTTATTTATCTCTCTCTCTCTCCACTTTCCCTCTCATCTTGCACTATTCCTCTCATCCTTTTATCTCGCCCTCTCTCCTCCCCCTCTCTGTCTAATTCTCGAGCCCAGTCACAACTGAATATTGATCTTGCTGACTTGTGTACCATTGTTTCTATGGAAATGAGCGCTTTGAGGAGTCTCTTGGGGGAAATCAGGAATCTGCCTGGCCCTACACTTCTTCCAGCCTGTAGGGGAAATTTTATCACTTAGCACAGGGAGACAGAGGAAAAAAAGCTACCTTCATTGAAAACACTGGGGAACACGGGTACACTGACTCCCTATAGTTTCGACATGTAGGTGAAAATTCACGGTGGAATCGTCACACCGAACACAGAAAGATACAATATACTTGGACAAAGGGGATTTCTCTCTATCCGAGGTCCTATTTTATTTCTTTTCTGCTTGGCACCGTCACTAGCTTCCCACAGAGGATACAATATAATTTTGGTGCCTGGGGCACAGAGAAATAAAGTGACTCAATTAAGGTCACAGTGAGCTGGCAAGGGAATTGAACTGGGCAATTTCTGAGCACTTGGCACAGCCATGCCCTGATCTAATGAGGGTATTACCATAGCTTTATTTCTCAAGTACCAATCAATAGATATTATATTTTATTGGGACATACTCTCAGAGCTGGGGCTCTGGGAAGTACATTCTCTTGTTGAAGTACACCTCTCATCACTCTCACATTTACTGTGACGTTAGTGGAATACAACTCCCATCACATTCAGTAGCATCTACTAACTTAATGTTTAGGTGATAAATCCTACCAAAAACAAGTGAAAGTAAAGCTTTGATAGATCAAATTGCATGTATTCCTTTATACACCGGGCTACTGTAGAAATCTGTAAAACAAACAAAGCAAAATATATAATAGTGCAATATTGAATGGAATATATAAATATATATATATATATATATATATATATATATGTTTGTAAAATAATGATGGTGAGTAATGAACACTCACATTTGGCAGAGCCTTTTATGGAGATAGGCGCAGGAGGCAACCCAACCTTCTTGGACAGCTGTATGAAGTATACCTCCAGACAAGACAAGAGAAAAAAAAAAAAAAAGAGCAGACTCGGTGTAATATTATAGACTCAATATTTTATACATGATGTGCCAAGAGTGTGTGCTCACCTTCAAGAGTCCATAAATTACTGTCTCAAAAGCGTTGGAGATATAGTCTCAGGAATAGGGTGGTACTAACCTTCTTTGCAAACTGAGGACAGAATTTCGAAGGAATCGATAGGTAAGAATGGTATAAGTAAATTTATTAAAAGTAAAATAAACACTATAAACGCAATAAAAACTAATAAATATAAAAAGAATCCTCTCTCCAAGATACAGTCAACCTTATGTAGGCTTTTTCAATCATTGCTTATCAGTTTCTGGGTACTCCTTTTTAAAGCAGAAAAGTGGACACCCCCTCATTAACTGCATGTCGTATATAGCAAACCGGGAAAAATTAGAGGTAGGAGGGGATGGGATATCTTCCCCAAACGTTGAAGTCCGCGCTCCGCATTTGCTGTATCACAACTCTTCTGGTCTCCGCAGTGTACTACCAAGTCCATAATGCTTTGAGGTTTCTTCGAAATGGTGACGGAACGATAATGTTGGGAGAAACTAGCAAGCCCATAATTCTTTATGATTTAATTTGCTTACATTAAAAATAAAGAAAAAAATACAAGAACATTTTAGCAAATCGTTTGTGGAAAATGGCAATAATAGTATTAATAACACCTTGGGTAATGTTATTGCAGAATAAAGATAAAAAAGTGAAATGAAAAATATGTATTCATGGGATAATTCCAAAACGTGAACATGTTTTTATGCTACTGGACAATATAACTCTAACTCTATCACTCTCAGCAGCCCATATTCACTGCCTGCACTATTTATTGTTAGTCTCTACTCTCATCACCAGCAGGCATTCCACCAGAATGATATGATAATAGATGTAAATCTGACCGCTATATCCAGTCTCTTCCTTGGGTATATTATTTTCCATTGGACTGTACACTGACATCCTGGCAAGGTCAGGTCCCTAGTCCCATCTAATGAGAGACACTGCCAAATTATGTGACAGATTACACGATGACATTGAGGCACACAGAAGTGTCCCATCAGCAAAGAGTTTGCGCAGACACCTAAAGTTGTTAATATTGACAATTACTGTGCTCTTCGTAAACAGAGACACTATAATCGTTGTCCTTTGTAAACTAAAGAGGCACAAAAACATAATATTAGTTATCTTACAATTCAAGAAAATATAATAACACTAAGGTGGAGGAGATGTAAAAGCCCAGAATGCATGGTCCTTTAATGCATGGACCCTATTATTTTTTTTTTTTTTATTGTATTCGTTTCTTCCCTTTTGACTTAGTAGTACAGTTACCACATATATATATATATATATATATATATATATATATATATATATACACA